TATATATATATATATATATATATTTGAGAAAGCCCGAAGACTAATATATTGAAAAGAAATAGTGATACATATAGATTGTGTGGAAGGGCCCAAGTATGACACCCTTCTCTCATGATAACCACAACATACAAAATGTTCCAAAAAGAGAGAAAATACAAAAAATTACATGAGATACCTAAAGAAAAAAAGCAAAAAAAATTCAAAATACGTAGTATCAGGTAGCTAGAGAGCGACCCATTTTGCTTTGCCTTTGCTCCTAGTTTTAGGAAAGGAGCCAGTTAATAAATTGGTATGATGAGTGCCATTGTCAGTAGTGACCAAAATTTCATCCAATTAGTTCCCGAGCTCGAGTCGGCCTCTAGTCTTCTTCGTCCTCCTGGAATAGTCCTGCTATTCCTTATCCGAAGATTGACTCGCCTGATCAGTAGATTGGTCTAAAGTGTGCCGGACATGTATAGGATCTTGAACATTAGAAATAACTGATTGTTGTACCAGCTGATCTTTTATTGGATCAAAGGAGCACTCTCGTGTGTCTTGGAATGTAAGTGAGCATCCTTCAATAACAGTGAGTGGTATAAGCACTTTTGAATATTTACCTGTAGTATGATGTTCTTCAGAAACTGTGATGTTGGGTAGATGATCGGGTTGCACATTCTCAACAGGGATGGTAGGTGGTCGATCTTTAGCGATATTCGACCTTAGATGAGGATGCAAGCGATAGCAAACAGTAAAACTGTGACCAAACATATCATAATGTGAGCAATAAGAAGGGTATGATTCTATTTCAATCTTTTGCCAATATCCGTTGTGAGTGGTTCCAATTCATACCTCATCCGGAGCTGGTTGAGTGATATCCCTCTCAACTAACACACAAGCCTCAGAGGGTCTGATGACAGCAAGCGTAAGACTATCAACCTTGAGAGGTTTACCGTAAGCAGTTGCCAAAGAGTAGAGAATTTTCATGTTGAACAGATGTAATTTTAACCCTGGAAACTTTATTCAAACAGGAATGATAGGAGACACCGCTTTTGGATCAAAATTGACAATCCATTTTAGAATTTTCATAAAACGCTTGTTAATCTTGATAACTTTTTGAGAAAATATACAAGTAATCGACATCATGAGATAGTTGAATAAGTATATGTCGATCATCATGTAATCCAATATTCTAACTACCCAATAGCTTCATAGCTTCAAAATCTTTTCTAATGATCTCAAGTTTTGAGTTTCCATAAAGAAATTTTCCCACTAGAGCAAAACGCCAAGAAGACGCGAGAGTACTAGTTTCAATTTCAGTGAGAATAAGAGCAGACTTTTCATTTTTTTTACCAAGTTTTTTAATAAAAGTGTGATTCCCACCACCTTCAAGAGCCTCAGGGAAGGATCGTGGAGCATTGCAGGACTTGCCAATATGGAAACCATGCTCTGAACCCGCAGACATTTTTTTTGCACCTGCATAACTTCGCTCCATCC